AGTCCTTGACCCTTCGCAGCAAGTGCATGAGGTCCTCCTCAGTTTCAGCAAGCAGGGTTGTGTCATCTGCATAACGCAGATTGTTAATAGATCTTCCACCGATCCTGATGCCACAATTCTCCTCATAGAGCCCAGCTTCTTAAAAATTGTCAGCTTTGAGAATTATACTGCCCCCCCCCCCTTTCTGAACTGTCTGTGGAGTCAAACTGACAATAACAACTTGAAAAATGAGATGGGAACTTTAGCCATGCCATTATGTGAGTGGGGAACCGTTTTCAAAAGGAGTTTGAGAATGGTGGTGCAATTTAAAGAGTGCAATAAATGTCACAAAATTGTATACTTAAAACTGGTGGTAGGTTTTGTTGACTACGGTGAGTCTGATCCAAGCTATGGTATCTTCACTTGTTTCCTATCTTGGTCAGTAAGGAAGGAAGATTGAAGAAAAAAATGGTGGACAGTGTTTGGTGGGGCTTCCCGATTAAAACAAGCTTGGAAGCAGGAGTGTCATCCACTTCCAAAATGGCTTGCCTCCGGTAACTCTATGAACAGTGCTCAGGCCTTTCATTCATAGGGTCACTAAGAGTCGTCTACAACTCAACGACACCTAACAACAATAACAATGAAAACATAGAGCTACGTTAGCCTTGTAGACAGAAAGTTTTGCTATCAAGCCCAAGGTGAGTGATTTTAATCTGCAGCCCTCAGGCCTGGTTCAAATTGTTTTTTGTCAAACATTCTTCTAGGTAGTATATCACTGGTCTGTGCATTGCTGTACAGAGGTAACTCGTGGTTGCTGTGACGCTAAACACTGTGACACTGATGTGCCAAATGTGATAATGGTTACCCATGGTGGACAGTGTTTGATGGAGTGCCCTGATTAAAACAAGCTTGGATGCAGGAGTGGCATCCACTTCCGAAATTTGCCTCCAGAAACTACAAACAGTGCTCAGGCCTTTCATTCATAGGGTGGCTATGAGTCGTCTATGACTCGATGGCATCTAACAACAACAACAACAACATTGAAGAAGAGTAGTGAATATCACAGGGCTGCCAAAAGAACAAATAAGCCTGTCTTGGAGGAAATATACTCAAGGTGCCCCTTAGAGGCAAGGATGGTAAAACTCTGTCTCACTTTCTTTGGGGCTATTTTTAGGAGGAACTAGCCCTTCAGAGAAGGAAGGGAAATTTCCTTCCCATTGGATTTGCTGCCTTTGAAAACCACTGGAGGGTCAGCTATGAGTTGGTTCTGACTCCACAGCACACAACAACAACAGTCCTTGGACACGGACATCAGTGAAAGAGAGGAAGACCCTCAAGGAAGTGGTTTGATGTAGTAACTACCACAATGGAATTGAGCATGACAGATCGCAAAGATGGCACAGGATAGGGAAGTTAAACTCTGTTGTTCATTGAGTTGCTATGAGTCACAGTCAACTGGACAGGACCTAACAACAACAATAACAACAACATTCGAGAATCAAGAGGTTTATAGCAAGGGGCCATGGTGTCTAGTCAGATGCATCTATGAAAAGCTTAGCTATGTCATCCTTGATGCCAAAGCTCATGTGCCACTTGGTGGCACTGTGCCTCTTTTTGTAAAGTACCTGGGAAGAACTACTTTCTGAGTGCTACCAGAGGGTATACACAGTGGTGAATAATGGAAGTCAACAACTGGGAAAAGCTGATGGTGAGATATCTTCTCTTTATTCCCAGGTGAGAAATAACAAGGAGCTACTTACCCTTCAAAAGGACGGTCTGCATGATGTCCCGGGCAAGCGGGTTATGTGACTGTATGGCATATTGGCATAGTGCTGCTGCCATCTGCACATTGGCATTCTTATCACAGAGAGCAGCCTCCAGGGCGGGCTGTAAAACCTCAGGTAGATCTGGAATAGGCGTCCCTTCCACAGTCTTCAGTTCTACAATCAGAAGAGCACCAGTTAAAGGTACTTTAACTTTTTTTTTCTTTTACTTTTCTGTCCAACACAGCTTCCTTTCTGGTGGCACTTGGTGGCCAACTTCAGTCTCTGTTGTGGTGCTACTGCAACTTAATTTAAGTTGTTATGTACCATGGAGTTGGTATTGACTCAAACTGACCCTCCAGCAAGTTTTCAGAGGCAGTAAATCACATAGAAGGAAATTATCCATCTTTTTCCTATGGGGCACCTGGTGGATTCAAATCATGTACCGTTGGGTTGGCAGCATAACTTCTTACCACTAAGCCACCACAGTTCCCTCTTAATGTAATTAGAATTAGCTAAGTCATTGCAATGGAAAAAAATTTATAGGGCTCAGAAAAAGTTCTATACAACAAGGTAAAACTGCCCCATAGGGTTTTCAAGGCTGATGTTCTTTAGGGGATGGTGAGACATCATCTGACATACTTTGGGCACGTTGTCAAGAGGGATCAGGCCTTGGGGCCGTGGGGAATCATGCTGGGTAAAGGGGAGTGTCAGCAAAAGAGAGGAAGACCCTAAACAAGATGGATTGGCACAGTGATTTTAACAATGGGCTCAAGCATATAAAAAATGAGGGTGGTACAAGTTAGGAAAAGGCTCAAATCTGTGGGTCACAGGGTTACTAAGAGTCATACTTGACTTGATGGTGCCTAACAACAGCATTCTACGGAAGTCAGCTGTAAGGGCACAGTGGTTAAAGAATTCAACTGCCAATCAAAATAGCCACTGAAATCTACCACCTTCTCCGGAGAGAAAGAGATGGGGCAATTTGCTTCTATAAAAATGGAAAGTCTTGGAAAACTTTTGAAGTTCCACTCTTTCGTCTAGTCTCATTATACACTGGCATCAATTTGATTCTGTGGCTTTGGCTTTTTTTGTGTGTGTATGTGAATTTTGGGATAAGCTTAACAGAAGCACCTCTTTCTTCTGCAGAGGAAGATGAAGTAGTTGTCCACAATGACTTCCAAGGACCTGACTAAGAAACTAAGACCAGTGACAGTGATGAGCTTAGATTTGAACTCATAGTAAGTTTGAGATGTGCTGTCAAGAGAAGAGTTAAAATGGATTTGGAAGAAAAGACTTTTTTTAAATGTATTTTCTTACTATTACGGCTTCTCTCAAAGCAGGAAAAGAAAAACTTTTCTGCAAGACACTCAGCAAACAAAGCCCATGAGGTATACCACAGGCATTGGACTAGAAGTCAGAGATTTTAATCATCTCTATTCTTCATCTAAGGCACTCAGTTCTAATCCATCAACTGTTCTATAGGAGAAAAATGGCCAATATTCTCTTGTGGTTTACCACCTCTGAAAAACCACTAGAAGGTCAGCTATGGGTTGGTTCTAATTCGATGGTACATAACAACAACATTCATTATCAACATATCACCTCTATTACTAGCAAAAACAAACAAAGCCAAACTAGTCGCCATTAGGTCAACCCAACCTCATTGGTATGTGCATAAAAGTAGACCTGTGCTCTGTAGGTATAGAGTTTGTTTCTCAATGTGGCTTTTCTAGTGTGGATGACTGACTATGTTGAGGTGTAAGACTATGTGAATGAGGCATGTTTGCTTATCTATCAGGGGATTGGCTATCTACCATTCTACAAGGGGATTGGCTAATCTCAACAATCAACAAGAAGATTGGCTAGTCTCACTAATAAATTGAAGCACTCTAGCTGCAAAGTGCAACTTGCTATGCATCTAAGAGCTAGACAATAAATAATGGTGACAGTAGAAGAATTGATGCCTTTGAGCTGTGGGGTTGGAGAAAAGTACTGAACATCCCATGAACTTCCAACAGAATAAATAAATATGTCTTGAAGTGAATGCTGCCAGAGTGCTCTTTGGAGATAAAAATGATGAGTCTTTGCCTCATATACTTCAGGCGTATTGCTAGGGGGCTGTTTTTTGGAGAAGGACATGATGCTCAGAAAGGTAGAGGGTCAGCAAAGCAGAGAAAGGAAAAGGTGAATTGAATGGTGACTGCTGCAATGGGCTCTAATGTGTCAGAAAGTGTGAGGGATGGCACAGATCTGTTGTTCATAGGGTCACTGTGGGTCATACTCAATGGCACCTAACAAGAACAACAACAGCTGCAGGATAGAGTATCTTCCCCCAGTAGAAGAGAGAATTCTTCCTCCCGCCGGAGAAGAGAGACCTCTCTCAACCCAGTAAAATGTAGGACATACTTTGGGACAGCAGCAGCAGTGATGGCTGAACTGATGAACTGATGTGAGATATGACTTTGGGGTGGTGGTGGGGACCAATAGTGGCAAGACTGAGAACTTTGTTGGACAATTGGGTGGAGAGCCAATACTGGTAGAAATGAAAACTTTGTTGATAATTGGAGAAGGAAAGCCAATATTGGCAGGACTGAGAACTTGGGAACACCTTGATATCTGAGGCTGAGGTGCCTTCGTGCACATTTTGGGAGCTGTCTTGACTGTATTCTATTATTAATTTGAATTGTAACCTTGTGACTTCCCAGTATGGTTCTATGTGGTCTGTGAGCTATCACATTGTATTTTGGACCCATCAACGTAATAATCAGGAGAGAGATGGACAGTCTCTTTCTGTGTGATTAACTGCCTCTGAAAACCTCCTGGAGGGTCAGCTATGGGTTGGTTCCAACTCTACAGTACAACAACAAAGTAGTAAGTAATATTGGTGTTGAGATGAGTAGTAAAAAGTATAGGGGTATGGGAGTCTGAATTCATGGGTATTGGTTTTGTGTTATTGGTGCTATGGGCAGGGATAGTTGCCCTCTGTGAAGTTGATAAAGGTCAGATATGGCATTCCCCACATGACCCTTGCTCTTTTTATAGTAGGGTTTTCAATGCCAGATTTTTTTTTGTTGGGAAGTAAATCTTCAGGCATTTTTTTCTGAGACATCTTTCTTTGGGTAGACTTGAACCAGGAACTTTTTTTTTTTAATTATTTTTTATTATTTTGTGTGCGTGTACCGTCAAATCAGATCGATTGGTACAGGAGGATATTGCGCCTCCTTCTCCGGCAGAGCATCTGGTGGATTCGAACCGTGTTCCTCTGGGATTGCAGTGCAGCTTCTTGCCACTAGGCCACCAGAGCTCCCAAACCAGGAACTTTTTTATTAGCACACAGGGACTCCTCTTGCTGATAAGATGTGTAAATTAAGATCAGTCTCTGGGTCTTGATGTCTACATTTATAAAATGATTTAAGATATGCTATAAAGTTCCCACCAATTCAAATGTTCAATGATGAGAAGAACTGACACAGTGACAATAGTGTGTGAGAGACGGTGAGGTTGGCTCAGGGCAGGGCAAAGTTCAGAGCTGGTTGTGCATAGGGTCACTGTGAGTCATAGTCGACTCGATGGCACATAATGCCACCACCAACATGGATATATGAGTTGTTTTTAAAGAGCCTAGGTCTCACCTGAGTCTTCCTGCCTGGTGACAATGTGGGGCCATTCCAGAGCTGCTGTGGCACATGTGATGATGGCGTGGATCCGAACATTATCTTGCATACTTGCCAAGTTCCGTTGCAGTCCCTCCACTGTCTCATGGTGCCACTCAATGACTGTGCCGCAGTGAAGGAAATGGAAGAGAACTAGATGGTTAGAATTAGATATTCTGCCATAGGCAGGTGACAAGAAGTTGCATTTCGTCCAGGACAATTCAAATAAAATGTTATCCCAGAAAAGTAAAGAACCCTACAGATGGGATCCTTAGGGGAGTTATTTCTCTGATGATGCATGGACTCTCCAAGTTCTCAAATTATTCACCCCATTACCTGGCCCCACTTTTATATTCTGTCTCTTTGTTTAAATTCTTGATTGTTGCTTCTGGAAAATAAAAGGGACAATAAGACATAGTGGTTATGTATAATTTGTTTTCAAAGGTAGTTGGTTTTGGAATCATAGTCCTTAGCTGTGTGCTCTTGGGTAAATTATTTAACCTCTCTGAACCTGAAATTTCTCATTTGTAAAATGAGAATAATATTGGAAACTACTATATTAAGTTATTCTGAGGACTAAATGTGTTAACCAGACAGAGTGTTTAGCAATTTGTCTGACAGATAATGAAGACTCAAAAAATGTTAATTACTAAAAAAAAATTTAAAAAGGTTAATTACTGTAATTATCATTAGATTTCCTTGCCTTTGAGGACTCTTCTATCTGGTTTTCAAGGTCATGCTCATTTTAGTTTCTAACTACTTTCTTTGCAGGTTTCAAACGTTTATTTCAATGTTTCTACCATCTTCTTAACTCCCTACTACAGTAGCTGTTGCTCAGAATCTTGTTTTCAACTTTTTTACATTGATCTGATCCATTTTATTTAGTGGGTCACTACCTTTTCTTCCTGCATGAGTCTCTCTTCTTTGAAAGTCATTAATTCCTAAGTCTTCATATGTTGTATTGTTGTTGTTATGTGCCGTAAAGTCATCTGCGACTCATAGCAAACCTATGTACAACAGCTCTGAACCTTGCTCTCTCTTGAGCCAATCTCATCGTCTCCAATAGACCTAAATCTATTTCTCCAGGCACTGAATCAATCCATCTTATCCAAGATCTTCCTTTCTTGCACTGTCCCTCCACCCTTCCAAGTATGATATCCCTCTCTGATAACTAGTCCTTCCTGGCAACATACCTAAAATATATCAGAAAGAGCTTCAAAATCTTTGCCTCCAAGGAGCAGCCTGGTTTCATCCCCTCCAGGATGGACCTAATTTTCCTCTTAGGAATCCATGGTATATTGAATATGCTTCTCCAGCACCACAACTCAAAGGCATGCATTCTTCTTTTGTCATTCTTAGTCGTCCAGCTCTCTTGATTCATAGCAGTTAATTGAGAAGACCATGGCCTGGATCAAGCACACTTTAATCTCTGACTAAGTCAGACTGACATCATTGCTCATCAGTACGAGGTCCTGGACAGCAGATTTTCCAATTCCAATTCATCTTTTGATTTCCTGATTGCTGGTACTGAGAGTGTTGATTGTGGATCCAAGCAAGCTGAAGCTATTAACAGTCTCAATCTCTTCACCATCTATCATGATGCTCCCAATAGTCCTAGTGTTGAGAATCTTTGTTTTCTTGATGTAGAGCTTCAATTTATATTGAAGACTGAAGTCCTTGACTTTATGCAGCAAATGCCTCAGGTGCTCCTCAGTTTCAGCAAGCAAGGTTGTATCATCTGCATGTGGCAGGTTGTTGATGACTCTTCCTCCTATCCTTCCTCCTCTTAGAGCCCAGCCTCCCAAATGAGCTGTTGTTCCACATATAGATTGAAAAGGTATGGAGATAGGATGCATCCCTAGCATACACCTTTCCTGATTTTGAACCATGCAGTGTTTCCTTGCTCTGTTCTCATCACTGCCTTCTGGTCTAAGTATAGGTTTTGCATAAGCATGATCAAGTGTTTTGTAATTCCCATTCTTCTCAGAGTTAGCCACAGTTTATTGTGATTCACACAGTCAAATGCCTTTGAAATAGTCAATGAAACATGGGGAGACATACCTCTGTTACTCTTTGTTTTCAGCTAAGATCCATCTAACATTGGCTATAATATCCCTAGTGCCACAGCCTCTTCTAAATCCAGCCTGCACATCTGGCTGTTCACTGTTGTTGTTAACTGTTCCAGTTGTTTTTGGATAATTTTCAGCAGGATCTTGCTTGCATGTGATATCAATGATATTGTGCTTTAATTTCCACTCTCTGTTACCTTTTTTTGGAATGGGAATACATATGGATCTCTTCCAGTCAATTTTCCAGGTGGTTGTTTTCAAATGTTATAGTTTCAATAAATGTTACAGGAACCCTACTTTGCTCCAAAGGGTCAGCTTTGTAATTCTTCTATCAGAACTCAGAATAGATCTGTGATAATCCCAGCTCCATTTGGACTTCTTGTTGTTATGTGCTGTCGAGTCGCCTGCGACCCATAGTGGCCTTATGTACAGCCCTTCTGAGCCCTGCCTTTTTCTGAGCCTGTCTCACTAATTCTGACACACCAACCCCCATTGCCTCAGTTACTATATCAATCCATCTCATCGTGGGTCTTCCTCTCCTGTGCTGTCCCTCCACCTTTACAAGCATGATGTCCTTCTACAAGACCAGGCTCTCCTGGCTATGTGCCCAAAATATGTGAGATGGAGATTCAAAATCCTAGCCTCCGTGGAGAAACTTGGTTTCAACTTCTTGAAGATAGACCTATTTGTTTTCTTGGCAGTCCATGATATGTTCAAGACACTTCTCCAGCACCATAATTTGAAGGCATCGATTATTCTTCTGTCATCCTTAGTCATTGTCCAGCTCTCTGATCTTCTTAAACTTGAGACAGATAGCAGTATGAGAGACAAGCAGCAGCATGAGGTGCAAGGCATCACAGAAGTGACTTGAAGCCTGAGCCATCATATCAAGGGTTGACTGGGGGAAGGGAGGTGCTGGACAGGGTAGGCAGGAATGCAAGGGGATGCTGATGGAATAGGGAAAGGGAAGGAACAAGACACACATGCAAGGGGTAGGGGGAGGGACTGACATGGAACCCACTAAGTTACTTCTGTGAGGGGGAGGTATCTTCCATGTGCTCCTTTCTGTAAAATGTTTGTCTGTCAGATATTGTTCTAAAATTAAGCACCCAAATTAAGAAAAACTAGGAAGAAGGGTTGGCCATCCACTTCTGAAATAATAGGCCTTCGAAAACCAATGTACAATAGAGCACACTTAGAGCAAAGCAGCAGATATGGCACCTGATGCTGAGCCCTCATATATAGAAACACAACAGAGTAGGAACAGTTAAACAGACACTAGTGATTGGAATGTGAGAACATGAATTTAGGAAAACTGGACATTGTTAAGAAAGAAATGGAATGAATAAATATTGTCATAATAGGCATTGGTAAAATGAGATGGATTGGCATGGGACGTTTTCAATCAGATAATCAATCATCCGACTACTATGCTGGAGATGAAAGGTGAAGAAAAATGGGATTGTTTCCATATTAAAAAGGTCGTTTCCAGATCCATCTTTTTTAAATTGTATTTTATTATGTGTGTGTGTGTGTGGGTGTGTGTGGGTGTGTGTGGGTGTGTGTGTGTACTGTCAAATCAGATCTGACTGGTATAGGAGTAGATTTGCTCCTCCTCCTTCAGCAGAGCGTCTGGTGGATTCTACTGTGTTCCTCTGGGATTACAGTACAACTAGATGTATCTTGAAATACAATGTTGTGAGTGACAGGATAATATCTTATACAAGGAAATCTGGTGAATACCACTACTATTCAAAATACCATCATTCAAATATATACAACAACAACCAGGAGGAAATAGATTTCTACCAACTTTTGCAGCCAGAAATTGATAAAACATGCAACTAAGATTTTATTATTATTATTAATTATGGGTGACTGGAATGCAACTGCTGGGAACAGGGAAAAAGGATCACTAGTCAGAATATATGGACTTGGTGACAGACATGGGGCTGGGGATAGAATGATAGAATTGTATACAAGCAATGATTTATTCATTGAAAATATCTTTTATAAGAAACATAAATGCACACTATACACATGGATTTAATCTGATGGTTTACACAGAAATCAGATTGATTACTTCTGTGGAAACAATCTTTGGAGAAGCTCCATATCAGCAGTGAAACTAGACCAGGTACTGATTGTGTAACAGACCATTAACTACTCATATGCAAGTTCAAACTAAAGCTAAAGAAAGTTAAACCCACAGGAATAAAAATTTAACTGTGAGTCTATCACACCTGAATTTAAAAAACATCTCAGAACAGATTTGAGGTCTTGAACACTAATGAACGAAGACTGGATGAGCTGTGGGAGGATATCAACAATATCATCCACAAAGAATGCAAAAGGTCATTACAAAAACAGAGGAGGAAGAAAAGATCAAGATGGATGTCAGAAGAAACTGTGAAAATTGCACTAGAGTGCCAAAAAGCCAAAGCAAAGGAAGGAAGCAGGAAGTTAAGAAGCTGAACAGAAGATTTCAAAGGGCAGCTGGAGAAAACAAAGTAAAGTATTGTAAAGAAATGTGCAAAGAACTAGAGTTGGAACATCAAAAGGGCCAAATTCGCTTGGCATTTCTTAAACTGAGGGAATTAAAGAACAAATTCAAACCTCGAGTTGCAATACTTAAGGATGCTTTGGGCAGAATACTGAATGATCCAGGATGCATTAAAAGAAGATAGAAAGAGTATACAGAGTTACTGTAGCAAAAAGAATTGACTGACACAGAAGAATTTCAAGAAACAACATATGATCAAGAGGCAATAGTGATAAAGGAGGAAGTTCAGACTGCTCTGAAGGAATTGGCAAAAAACAAGACTTCAGGAATTGATGGGGTATCAGTTGACATATTTCAACAAACAGATGCTTCCCTTGTGTGCTTACCAGGTTGTGCCAAGAAATCTGGAGGACAATCACCTGGTCAACTGACTGGACAAAATCCATATTTATTCCCATTCCAAAAATAGGTGACGTGACAGAGTGTGAAAATTATTGAACAATATCACACACAATCAAAATCCTGCTGAAGATTATCTAAAAGTGACTGAAATAGTACATTGACAGAGAACTACCAGATGTCCAGGCTGGGTTTAGAAGAGGTGCTGGCACTAGAGACATTATTGCCAATGTCAGATGGATCTCAACTGAAAGCAGAGAGTGCCAGAGGAATATCTATCTGTGTTCAATTGACTATGTAAAAGCATATTACTGTGTAGATCACAACAAATTGTAGCTAACCTTGAAGAGAATGGGAATCCCAGAACACTTGATTGTGCTCATGAAAAATCTATACTCAGAGCATTAAGCTGTCCTCAGAACAGGGCAAGGAAACACTCCATGGTTCAAAATCAGGAAAGGCGTGTGTCAGGGATGCATCCTGCCCACATATCTTTTCAATCTGTATGAAGAAGGGATAATTCAGGAGTCTGGGCTTTATGAGAAGGAATGTGGCATTAGGATTGGAGGAAGACTCATCAATAATCTGTGCTATGTAGATGACACAGCCTTGCTTGTTGAAACTGAGGAGGACCTGAAGCACTTGATGCAGACAGTGAAGGACTGCAGTCTTCAGAATGGATTGAAATTCAACATCAAGAAGATAGATTCTCAACAGTAGGCCAATTGGTAGCACCATGACAGATGGAGAAGAGATTGAAGTTATTAACAATTTCAGCTTGCTCAATTCCATAATGAATACTCTTGGCATCAGCAGTCAGAAAATTAATAGACAAATTGCACTGAAAAAAATCTGCTGTCAAGGGAGCTCTGGTGGCCTAGTGGCAAGAAGCTGCACTGCCATACCAGAGGTGTGTGGTTCGAATCCACCAGATGCTCTGCTGGAAAAAGAGGGACAATCTCCTCCTGTACCAGTCAGATCCAATTTGACGGTACACACATAAAAACTTTAAAAAAAAAATTAAAAAAAAAATCTGCGTCAGAGACTTCTCCAGAGTACTGAGAAGCAATGATGTCAGTCTAGAGATTAAGGTGAGCCTGATCCAGGCCATGGTCTTCTCAATTACTTGCTATGCATCAGAGAGCTGGATGATGACTAAGGATGACAGAAGAAGAATTGTTGCCTCTCAGTTGTGGTGCTGGAAAAGAGTATTGCATAGACTGAAAGGGAGCCAACAGGTCATCTTGGAGAGGATAAAATCAAGTTTCTCCTTGGAGTTTAGGATTTTTAAGCTCCATGTCACATACTTTGGGCAGTCCTTGAAAAAGGGCATCATGCTTGGGAGGGTGGAGGGACAGTGGAGGAGAAGAATACCCCAATGAAATGGATTGACACAGTAACTGGGGTAATGGAAGTAGGTGTATCAGAGTCAGTGAGACTAGCTCAGGATCTGTTGTACATAGGATCTCTATGAGTTGCAGGCAACTCAATGGCACATAACAGCAACTACAACAATCTCAGCTCCACAAATGAATTGGAGAGGAATTATCTTTACCTTGGTTTGTTTTGATTACTAGCTTTCCATTTCCTGGGCATCATTAATGCATCCTTTATTCAGCATAAAGTTTCAGAGATGAATAAGATAGGGTCTCTGCCTACTTCACATAGTGTTTCCACAAATTACTAAAATAAAATGGGAATATGATTTCCCCCTCCTGTTCAACCTCTGTTGCTAAAAGCACCCTATATATGTCAACTAACATTCACCTAACCCTCATTTTGTAGTCTTGACAAGCCTAGTTTTGATGAGCCAACCATATCTTAAATATGTACAGTCCCTCAGGAGGCCCCTTCACTCACTCAGAGACCAGGCAGTCGTCCATTCCTGCAGCATCTGCTGCAGGACCATCTCTTCCCAGGTCACATTCGTATTCAGTAATTTATCCTCCTTCCGGTGTCTCCTAGTTTTAGTGTACTCCTCCTTCTCGTCCACCAGCCGCAAATCCTTGACTGGGACGGGCAAAGCAGCCCAACGTACACCTCCTTTCACGGGCCTGCAAGCTGTGTCAATCATGGCAGTGTGAGATCTCACCCTAGTGACAAAGCCTTCCCAACCAGCATCACTTTCCTCTACTTGACTTAACACCAGCAGAAAACAAACCCTAAGAGTGAATTTGCTTGTTTCCCCCATGATTATATGAGCAGCTGAATATAAGTCCAATAGAGAGTTAGGAAAAAGCTTGATTACAGAAGTGGTGATGGGGCTAAAACAAAAATAAAAAAGGATATAGCCATAGTGATGGAGGGAGACTTGAAAGGAAAATTGGTATATAGAACAAACTTTTTTATAAGTTTAATAAATCTTCATTGTTGTTAGATGCTATCAAGTCCATTGTGACTCCTAGTGACCCTATGAATGATACATGCAAACTTTGCTCTATCCTGTACCATCCTTATTGTGGCTGATATGCCCCAGCCCATTGCTACAATCTCTGTGTTAATCTTGTTGAGGGCCTTCCTCTTTTTTCCAGACCCTCCATTGTCATGTCTCTTTCCCAGGGCTAGTTTCTCCTTACAACATGCCCAAAGTGTGTGAGACAAAGTTTCACCATCCTTGCTCCTAAGGAGCTCCCGGCTGTAATTCCTCCAAGACAAACTTATTTGGCTTCTTTAAAGTCCCTGTGATATTAAGTACTCATCTTCAACAATTCCGAGACATCGGTTCTTCTGTCATCCTTATTCAATATCCAACTATCAAATGCATAGGAAGCAACTGAAAAAGATTGTGGATTGTATCAGGTGCACTTTAGTCTCCAAGAAGAAAGCCTTGCTCTTTAGCACTTTGGTGAGACCCGAGACAGCAGATTTTCCCAATGCAACACATCTTTTGGTTTCTGGACTGCTGTTACAATGGAAATCTTTAGAGGCATAAAATATTTATGTGTAATAAGGCTTGCTTATAAAAATCTGGTAAGGGATATAATTTATAGTACAGTGTAGTTGACCATTAATCCCTAATTTATTAACTAAATTTTCATTCTAATATTCTTCATTTTGAGGGAGGAATGGTGTTACAAACTGCTAAATGTTAATTTTTTTTATTTTCTTTTATTATTTTTGTGTGTGTGCAGTCAAATCAGATCTGACTGGTACAGGAGGAGGTTCCCTTCCTCCTCTAGCAGAGCATCTGGTGAATTTGAACTGCTCGCCTCTGGGATTGCAGTTCAGCTTCCTGCCACTAAGCCACCAGAGCTTCCAAAAGATTTTTCAAATTATGACAATAGAAATTTGAGAACAGAAAAAAAAATCAAATATCATATAAACATATTTATATATAACATATAAAAATTGGTATAGTTATGCTTTCTGGACTTCATGCTCTCTATGAATGTGACAAATTCAGAAACTCTCATTCGCAGATAAGAAACTACATGGAAAAGAAACAAAGATAAAAAGAACAACATTTCCAAACTTATCTAATTCATTCTTTGCCACATTATGTCTGATTTGCAGTTATCAACTATTTCTGTTTCTGTTTCTTCCAAGACTTCTTCCCAACGCTTTTTAAAAAAATTTTCAGTTTTTAATGAAGTTGTGTATAATAATATTTTACTCCTGCATCTTCTCAATTGTTTCTTCCTTGTATTTGGCCTTTTCTTTTCTGACTTGGCGAGATTTGGCTTTACCTCAAGGATCTTTTTTCTGTCTCTATCCAGTGTTAGTTTAGTGATAACCACCTTGCTGGGGTGAATGTCCACATGGACCATTGTGCCTTTAGCTTTTTCTCGCTGCACTCGTTCAATGTTGATGACATATATCTTCCTGTAAACCTGGACCACTTTGCCAATTTGCTGACTTTTATAGTGCCCTCATACAACCTGAACTTCTTCATCCTTTCAGATAGCCATGGACCACACGTTGTATTTCTGCCTCAGCTCCTTGGACAGAGGAGAAGACATCATCTTCCTTCAAACATGAGAGGGTGCACTGAAATGCCTTTTATGGTTTTTGCTCTGGTCAGAAGTCACAAAAGGATTGAACTTCATTTTGGCTGCTGCCGCTACGGTAATGGCCACAGGAGGGGAAAGAGCCAACTCCTTTTTTTTTTTTTTAATTAAAAAATTTTTTTAATTTTTTAAAAAAATTTTTCTTTTATTTATTTTTAATGACTTTTAATGAAAGTTTACAGAGACTTAGGGTTTCCAGTCATTCATTGCTGCCCTTTTCTCCCTATCCATCCCCTCCCCCCAATTCACTCTTCTTGAAAAGAAAAGCTCTTTCATTGTTATGCAGTCCCTCCCCATCCCCCAAAGAGCCAACTCTTACCACTTTGTTCTGAACCTTTCCTCTGAGAAAGGTGGGCCATGTATTTCCTACTTCCTCTATAGAGACACCTGCAAGACTCCAAGGCAGTTTAGCCTAGAAGCCATAGGACATCTCTTCCAACATCTCTTCAGCCACCGTCGGAACCCAGCTCCAGGCAATGTGGCACCTCCCTGTTGAGGACACATTTTGCCACATGACATTCCTTCACATGTGTCACCTCCCTGTTGAGGACACACTTTGCCACATGACATTCCTTCACATCTCTTTTCTCAGTATAGTTGAAATCGAGACTCCCAGGGAAGGCTTAATCTCTTTGCCTCTATAATCCCCCTGCTCAAGAAGTGAAAAATGGATGGTGGTAAAAATGACTTGAATCTCTAATATTTAACTTCTCTGGGAATAAATAGATCTACTTTACTTTTAGTTCTTTGAGTTCTACTAGTCCTAACTAGTACTGACTCACACTGACCCTCTCTCCAGTTTCCAAAGCTATAAATCTTTATGGAGGAAACCACCTATCTTTCTCCCTCAAGCAGCTGATAGACTTGAACCACTGACTTTTCAGTTAGCAGCACAGTATGTTACACACTATGCCACCAAGGTTCCTTGTTCTCCTGGTAGGAAGGTAGAAACACATAAACTAGGCATCTTTCACATAAAAGGTATCTAAGGGCATTATACACAGAAACCACCTTTTCATTTCCTTTGGGACAAAAGGTACCATTAAATTTCTATACAACCTGTGCTTGTATCATGAACTGTACGGAACTTCTGGCACACAAGAGAGTTTTACACAAAGATTATGTTGGTAATTAAGGCTGTTAAATACAGCCCGTGTACTCCATAGGAATGGAGGACAGTGAGACTTTGTGTCTAACCTACTTTGGCCATATTATCTCTGGAGAAGGACATCGTACTTGGTAAAGTAGTTGATGGTGTCATGTTGATTATACATAACATGATGGAACTTTGCCCAGTCTTGTGCCATCCTCAATCTCTACTGTGCTTAAACCCTTTGTCACTGTGTCAGTCCTCTTTTGCTGACCCTCACCTTTTCCAAGCCTGGTGTCCTTTTCTAGTAACTATCCCCTCCGGCCCCCTTCCCAGGGTGTGTGAGGTGAAGACTCACCGTCCTCGCATCCAGGGTACACTGCACTGTTTCCAAGCTAGATTTGTTCATTTGCTCTATTCACTATCTTACCAACAGCACAATTTAAAGGCTTCAATATTTCTTCAATCTTCCCTATTCATTGTCCAACTTTAAAATGCATATGAAGCAGCTGAAAATACTAAGACTTAGGCCAGGTGAGTCTTAGGTCTTCAAGTGATATCCTTGCTCATTAATACTTTAAAGAGATCCGTGGAAGCAGGGCTGTCAAATGCAACATGTTGTTTGATTTTTTTAAAAATTTCATTGTTTTTTGTGTGTGTACCATCAGTTGGATTTGAACCGCGTAGCTCTCAGATTGTAGTGCAGCTTCTTGCCACTAGGCCACCAGAGCGCCCTGTTGTTTGATTTCTTGACTGCTGCTTCCATGAGTATCAATTGTGAATCTAAGTAAAATGAAATCTTTGACATTTTTTCTCTATTTATCATGACTTTTCATAACTGGTCCACTTGTGAAGATTTTTTTTTATCTTTATGTTGAGATGTATGATGAATTCGAGTGTCAGCAAAAGAGGAAGTTATTCAACAAGATTCATTGACGCAGTGGCTGAACCAGTGGCTCAAACAGCAACAACTGTGAGGACAACTGAGCAGTATTCTGTTTTCTTCATTGAGTTTTTACAAATTAAAACAGCTTTATGAAGTCAGCATTAGCTAACAACAACAATAATGGCTGTGTAATTAATTATAAGTGTGCTGCTTATCGTGACAATTTTCATCATTTCAAATAAATGATTCAGGTTTTAAATTTTAACAAAAAGAGGGAATTTCTACTTTGTCTAACCTCAGGAATTTTCAATTTTCCAATTTTTTTTTAGGTTCTGTCATACCTAACTCTATGATGATTATCAGATGGTGCAAGTACATTACTATTCTGGCTTCTTCCAAGTCATGTTCAAATACTGTTTTTAAAAGTTTGAGGCAAGGGGAGCTCTGGTGGCCTAGTGGCCAGAAGCTGCACTGCAATCCCAGAGGAACACGGTTCGAATCCACCAGATGCTCTGCCGGAGAAGGAGGCGCAATATCCTCCTGTACCAGTCAGATCTGATTTGACGGTACACGCACACAAAATAATAAAAAATTTTTTAAAAAAGTTTGAGGCAAAACCTCCTACAGCATTATTCCAGGAATCCAGTGCCTGTGAGGAAAAGTAACTGTGGAGTAAGATGGACAGAGAAAGCTTCTAGGACTGCAGTGGGTCCCTGAGAAGACTTTTAAAAAGAATAGCTTGGTGCAACCACTGTCGAAGGTGGTATGGCGCTTTCTCAAAAAGTTGCAAATAGAGATACCATTTGACCCAGCAATTCCACTACTGGGAATATATCCCAAGGAGACCATAACTGACATCCGAGCAGCTATATGCACACCCATGTTTATTGCAGCTCTGTTCACAATAGCAAGGAGTTGGAAACAACCTAGGTGCCCATCAACAAACGAATGGATAGAGAAGCTGTGGTATATTCACACAATGGAATACTATGCTGCATTGAAAAACAAGGAACTCATTCAATATTATTCAAAATGGGTGAGCCTGGAAGACATTATGCTGAGTGAAATATCTCAGTCGCAAAAGGACAAATATTGCATGGTGCCACTGCTGTAAAATGGGACTGATATCAGGGTGGGGGTAAGACTGAGAAAAACTGGGTAAATTGTGTATACTGCATTGAAACAGATGAGGGAGTGAATAATTTAAAAGCAATGTATGATAGGGTATTATGGTTATCACAAGAGTCCACAATTAAGGTTGCATAGTGGAATGTACTTGGGGCAGTGGGAGGGGTGCGGGGGGATTGTGTACCAGGGAGGGAGTCTTTCTTTTAATTTTGAAAGAGAGGAGCGAACTGGGGGGTGGGGGGAGAGGGCTGGGTGGGTAGAGAAGTGCAGGAATGAATGAATGAATGGAAATCTAAATTCTCTGTAAATGTTCATTAAAATTATTTTAAAAAAAGAACAGCTTTACTTAAAGATTAATCCTTCTAAAATACACAGTTCAGTGGGTTTTAGTATATTTACAACTTCTGCTACCATCTGATTGTGGAACATTTTCCGTTTGTTTGTTTTTTTTTAAAGAAAGGCAAGACTAATGATATTTTATTACTACACTGTTTAACAGGGGAAGAAATTATTGTGGTCCATGTAGAAAGTTAATGAAGATTAAAAAAAAATCTTTCTGATTCCTCAGTGATAGTTGAGCATTAATTAGTGTCTAGTGCTTGATTCCAGTAAGTCTTTAGCTTTATTTATTTTGGTTGCCAAGTAAGGAGATCCACCTTTACCCTGCTGATTCAAAATCATGATTCTCCCGTGGGATGTTCTGGCCTTGTCAGTAGATGGGCTTACACCTAAAACGAGACTAGCTTCTCATCTACTCATTTTCCTCCTTTCTGGTAGGGTGGAAAGCTAAGTTTTACATTTTCTTTATGGTTTCTGTGATTACTTGTCCTAGGGGTTTCCAGTTCTGAAATGCATAGAGACCTGAAAGTCCAAAGACTGAAACACCCAGTCCTTCAGCTGTTAAACTTCTTGCCAGTCTGCAGTTGATGTTGGCGTCCGACTATTTGGCTGAGGTCGTCATACTTGGCATAGCCCAGGGGCGATGCCATCAGGAACAACCATGGCCAGAAGGTTTTCATCAGTGCAAATAGGTATCATGTACCCTGCTCGCTCTCCCAGCTCAAGGCAACCATCAATCTATTTTCTGCTGCTATGGCTTTGCCTTTTCTTCTCAGAGGAGAAAACATGGACTTGGCTTGTACAGGAGGATAATATGCTAATAATAATGCCTGGAGTTACAGTGTTGGTTTATAGAGCATATCCACATCATCACATCATAAATGTATTATCAAAGTACCTTGCTGGAGGAATGATTAAATGCTTCTGTTTTGTTGAAACAGCTGAAACCCCAGAAGGTGACTTGTCAAGACCTGACTGGAGGGCTTTCTGGATGTTTTTCTCCACTGTATCACAGTGGTCTTCAACAAAGGAGGAAGGCGTGTGAGCTTGGGAGAAGTTGCCCAGAGGTGCCATTCTCCACCCTGGTGGCTTGTCTTGTCAGCCAGCACTAATGACAAAAGGTAGGGGGACTGGTGAAGAAAGAAGTCACTGCTACTGTTAGTTTCTGTTCGCTACTGTTAACTCCAGGGGAGCCAGCTGAATGATGACTGTGCAAAGAAGAGTCATGAGAAATGAACCATAGTCTCAGGGAGGACGGGCACATTTGTTTTCATAAGTTCATTTCTTGACCAGTTCCCCATCCCTCTTACAGAATGGCAAATGGTGTATTTATTTAATGGAAACATAATAGAGGGAGAACCTGGGACCCAAGGCAGGTATGGGCTTGAATGTGGAGTCACAAGGTAGAACCAGCCCAAAGAAAAAGCATATAGTTCAGGGATTTGACACACTCACTTTGGAAACATTTGAGTTGAGCCCTTTCTCACTGGTAATTATTGGCACTAAACCACTTGGTTATGCCCAAGTTATATCTAATACCAACTGAGTCTATCCTCCACTGAGGCTATCTTAGTTACAGTTAGTGTTTTATAATTTTGTAAGATGACTTTCTTGGTAAAAAGGGACTCCCCTAGGTGCTAGCTCATGACCTAGGGACCTTAAAGAAATAGCTACACTTCCATCATTAGTCCCCATTACCAGCCTCCTGCTTACGCGCTTCAGGAATTGGCTGGGAACTCCACTTCTCTGGGGTTTCAGGGAAGACCTTCTGCAGCTGCTTGTTGTACTGATTTAGGTTTTCCAGGAGAATTTGATCTCTCTTTGTATTAGCTGTCCGGATAAACTGGACATTGTCTGTGAACAGATGAAAGCATGAATTACCAGCATATCCTTACTAGGTTTCCAATCACCAAACTCAGACTCAATTCCTTCTGTCCTGTCCAAAGTCCCCTGGACCTCTGATTGCCATTTGTAGATGTATCTTCCATAGTCGATTGTTGTTATTTAGGCTACTTGGCTGAATGCCTCATTGGGAAAGCTCATAGTTATCTGGGAGCCAAGAACACTAAGTAAGGCAGTCCCTCTTTAATTTATAGGCTTTGTCTGCTGTGAAAAGCTAGATCTTAAATAAAGAGGACTCAATTAATCTCTTACTAGTCATGAATACCTTAGCCTGAATAGTTGGTTGTTTTTTAAATTTTTTTTAAAAAAAATTTTTAATTGCAATTTTATTGTAAGTTTATAAAGAACTTGGATTTCCATTCATTCATTGTTGCACATTTTCCTCCCTGGCCCCCTCCTCCCAGTTTGTTTTTTCTTTAGAAAAAAAGTTCTTTCATTTTTATATAGTCGTCCCCCTCCAACAGAACAATTTACTATGCAGTTCTTATTCTGGACTCTTGTCACACTAATAATACTTAATCATATATTCCTTTTATATAGTTCTCTCCCTTGTCCATTTCAATGCCATGTACATTATTTATTCCTCTTTTCTTAGTTTCTCCCCAACCATCAAGTCAGTCCTGTTTTATAACAGTGGCATTATACAGTATTTGTTTTTTTTGTGACTGAGATATTTCACTCAGCATAATGTCCTTCATTGTCACCCATTTTGTATAGTATTTCATGAGTTCTTTGTTTTTCAGTGCTGCATAATGTTCCATTGTGTGAATATACCACAGCTTCCCTATCCATTTGTTTGTTGATGGTCACTTGGGTTGTTTCCAACTCTTTGTTATTGTGAACAAAGCAATAAACATGGGGGTGTGCATATATCTGTTTAGGTGACAGTTTTGGTTTCTTTAGGGTATATTCTCAGTAGTGGAATTGCTGGGTCTAATGGTATTTCTATTTCCAACTTTCTGAGGAAGCGCCATACTTTCTTTCACAGTGGTTGCACCATTTTACTCTCCCACCAACAATGAATAAGGGTTCCAGTTTCTCCACAACCTCACCAGCATTTGTTGTTTGCTGCTCTGTTGAATTTTGCTATTCCTTCTGGAGTGAGATGATATCTCATAGTTGTCTTTTGAATCGTTTTGTTAAACACTTAAAAAAAACGTTCTAGAGTAAGCATGAGATGGGGTCCGGGAAAACAGCTGGGGATATTCAGACTCAGGTAAGTTCTATGTGCAAACATTGGGCAAGAAGCACTTTAAATGCTTTCTCATTTAGTTTACATGTCACTTGCCAAGTAGGTGAGATTCCATGGGCTAGTTTGCTGAAGCTCATTGCATGTGGCTAAACCAGAATTTAACCCCAAACCTATCAGACTGTAAAGCCCATGATTTTTCCCTTCAACGTATCACCTCTCTGGGGGACTATCTCCAGATGACAGAAAAGGGAAGAATGGACAGAAAAGAGCTAGCATGGACAGAAATCAGCTGTTTCCGGAATCATTTCTTGGTACTTTACAATTCCATCATTTTTAGTAAAATAAAGAAAGTAGGAAGGAGGAGAATAGTTGGCTCTTCCTAGATACTAACTGCCTTTGCCCCTGCGCTAATAACTGATCTTCCCATGAAAACCTGGGTTATCCAGGACATCATCCACACGCAAGGTTGCTTCCACAGACAAGCCATGAGCTCACTCCCCAGCTGCTTTCCACCTTCCTGCCCCCAACTCACCCCCCACCACAGGCCCCAAGCTCTTTACCAAAGTAAATCTCCTGTTCAAAGGCATTGTCTGTGGAATAAGTATATACTCCAGGTCGGGGTTTCGCCTTCTGGATGTGGCTCTGGTTCTGAGACTGGCAGTTGCTTGTGTTTCCAACCTTTGCAGTCTTATTGTTGCTGTGCCCTATTTTAGTTGCTTGCACATCTGGCAAGTAACCAGGCAATCTTGGTAGGGATGAAAGAAGGGGAAAAGATAGAAGATGGATAAACACAACTCTCTTAGCAATTACATCAGACCCACAATTCCTTACCATCTCTAATCTCAGCTCATTACATGACTATATTTTTTCCATTTTACAAAAATGTTATATTGGTTTGCATACAAAATTCATTTACATTGAATTTTACTCACGTACTTTGTGTTTCATACAATCATTCCCATATACTGTTTTATAAAATCAATGACCATCTGGCAATGTAAAATAGTGCAACCACTATGGAAGGCAGTATGGCACTTTCTCAAAAAGTTGGGAATAGAAATACCATTTGACCCAGCAGTTTCACTACTGGAAATATACCCTAAAGACACCAGAACTTGCACCCAAACAGATATATGCACACCCATGTTTATTGCTGCTTTGTTCACAATAGCAAAGAGTTGGAAACAACCCAAATGCTCATCAACAAACAAATGGATAGAGAAGCTCTGGTATATTCACACAATGGAATACTTTGCAGCATTGAAAAACAAGGAACTCATGAAATATTATGCAAAATGGGTGAACCTGGAGGACATTATGCTGAGTGAAATATCTCAGTCACAAAAGGACAAATACTGCATAGTGCCACTGTTGTAAAATGGGACTGACATCAGGGTTTAGGGAAGACTGAGAAAGATGGAATAAATAATGTATACTACATTGAAATAGATGAGAGCGAGAATTGTTTAAGTGGAAATGTGATTAGGTATAATTGTTATGACAAGAGTCCAGAATGAATGCTACATAATGGAGTGGACTGGTGGGAGTTGGGGGGAGCGGATTGTATAACAATGGAAGGATTTTTTTTTTTACTTTTCAAAGAGAAAAGCAAACTTGGGTCAAGGGTGAGCAGGGAGGAAATTGTACAACGATGAAGGACTGGAAATTCAAAGTCTCTGTAAACTTTCATTAAAATAAATTTTAAAAAATCAATCACCATCTATACCCACTATCACCCTGTCTTTTCAGATCCCTGCTAGATCTATCCTAATTCCTTTACCTTCAAACTCTGTGATCCCATAATTTTCGCACCCCTGCCCACCCTAGCTCCCCTGCACTCTTCTTACACCTTTGGACTTTCATCCACATGGATATTAAAAACAACAAAAAAATCACCTGTGTTTAGCTCTTCGCCTTGTTCCCGAAGTGTCACTTGAATATGGAGCAGTCAGAAGCACCCATCTATAGCTATAGCTGGTCCTTTTGAACTAACGGAAACACTTCTGTCGACCCTGGACCACATGGCCACACTCTCATGATCCTAGCCTAACTCCCTTTTAAAATATTGGTACCATTCGAAGTTGCATGCATTTGAGGGAAAGATTCTTAACCCCTACATTATCTCACTTTATATATATCCTCATGTGGTTATTTAATGTCTGCCCTCTCCAGCAGATAGGTCTTTTAAAGGATAGGTCCATATCATTCTCATTTATGTTGTATTGACTGTACATCACAGGGTCCCTAGCACATAGCAGAAACAATTACTATCTGCCCAATAAAACAATAAATGAATTGATTTCCACCTGTATTTAGTGTGCTGATCTTCTCACTGCTAATGAAATAATCTCTGAGAACTCTGCTCTGCCTTTGGGTGTTTGGGGGGTCTTTTTTGCTGGCTGGTTTTTAAATCAACAACACACTGACTTCTCACTTCAAGTGAGACAGGATCAAATCTCAGAGCCACCAGGTTTCTCTACTTCCCTTGCTCTCACCATGGATACATTTCTGGGAAATGCTGAAAGTTACTGATTCAACACAGTAGCTAAGTCAGAGGGGAAGAGGGAGAATATATTCTTTTAAAGCAAGGAGGTTCTCAACCAGGGGAGATTTTCTCTCCTCCCATCACCTCCCCTCCTCCCCTGAAGAGAATATCTGTTAGTGTCCAGAGGCATCTGATGGGCAATGTTGGCATCTAGTAGGTAGATGCTGGGGGATGACACTACACATCCTACAACGTGCAAGTCTGCCCTGCAACAAGGAATTAGCCAGCCCAGAAGACTAAGAACAGCAACACTGAGAAACCTTCCTTTAAGGAGCTCTCTCAGAGGTTGGTGGTGGAGAATGGTGGGATTACTCTGAAAGGAGGAGTGTGAGTCCACCCAGAAGTCTTTGACGGGAATCCAGGGGATGCTCAAAGGTGAGCCTTGGCCAGTCTACCTGTAGTAAGCAGGAAGCAAGAGCTCTGGCTTGTCCTTCTCCTGCTGGGGCAGAATGACACTTTTCCCCTCTAACTCAGCTGCCTCTTCTGCCTCCAGTTTCTCCAGGAGCGCCAAGTCACTGGCAGAGGTGAGCTCATCCCGGATGTGACTCCAGTCATACTGCTGCTGCAGGAAGCTCTGCCACTTGTTGGGGCCCACCCCGGGCCTGAGAGGACGCTTGTTTATGATCCACTGCGATGTGCGCTTGTCCAGTTTTTCCAACACCACAGTCTCCCAGGCTCTGGCCTCCTTCTTAGCAGGTGGAAGCCAGGCTTCCCACTCTCCAATGTCCACTGGATCTGGAGTGAGTGGCAGAGCCACTGGAGTTGGTTTCCTGCAGGGACGTTGAATATAAGTGTGAGGTTTTTCCCAGGCCATGGTTGCTGACTTTGGTTTCTTCAGCTGCTTTGCACATGTGGTAGAGTTTTCTGCCTCCACAGCCTCAGAGGTAACCTCTCTTGAAGGACCTGAGGAATGTAAGACTTTGGAGTGAACAGGTTTCTTAGGTGGAGCTGTCTTAATCCCCGGAGGTTGGATGATGTTGTCTGCTTGATAGAGGTGGTTAAAGTTGTACTGGCTGTATGGGAGGCTGGGCAGCCCTCTCTGCCACAGCACCTCCTGAGAGAAGTTCAGGTCTGCGGCGGCATTTTTCAGATACTGGTTCTTGAGGTGCCCACAGTACTTGGGACTGAAGTTAAAGGCTGGAGGCACACCAGACACTGACACACACTTGTCCTTGCTTCCTGGCTTCATAGAGTTGAACACCATGCCCCATCCCAGTTTGGGGGGCAGTGGCTGGCGAGAAAATAGGGTCATTTCCTTTGGGGTCTTGCCCATGTTGTTTCCCAGCAAACGCTGCTGAACCAGAGGCAGGGCCTGAACGTGTGGTCGGGCACCTGTTGAGGGAATGAAAAGAACGTTTGAGAGAAAGAGCACCGTGAGTAGTGGGAAGCAGTACCCCATACCCATACTCAAGAGGCTAATGTGGAAGATGGATGAGGGGAAATCCATGTGACTTTATTTCCAAAAGAAAGAGATAGTGCAACATTCTAGCGATTCCTTGGCTCTTGCATCAGACCCTTGCTTCCAATTCTTACACCTGTCCCCAAAGCTCAGAAAACTGTCTCCTTATGAGAGGTGACTGTTTCTTAATAGTATCCCATGTTAGCAAATTCTCCTCCAAGTTGTTTTATCTCTGTTCAAAGGCCTCTTGCATAAAGTTCAGGCAGTTTAGTCTGACATTCAAGTTTTGCCACAGATAAGACCAGTTTATGGCCTTGTCCTTTCACATAAACCCTGCTCCAACCACATGAGCCTTCCAGCTCTCCTCTGAGCTGTCCCTCCCTCCACATAGTGGAAGTTCCTTCAGTACACCATAAAATCGTCTTTCTTCTGTACTAAGAAATGCTAGCCATTCTTCCAAGTTCACCTTCTTACCATTTCTAGCAGTCTTTTTTGACCAATCTTGGATGCTTTGACCAGATTTCATAAATCCCTACTTTATATATTCTATAGTAAAAACAAGAATTTTTTTCTTTTAAAGAAATTGTTCTTTTATTTTCTTCAGCATTTTTTTATTCATTGTTGTACATTGTCCTCCCTCCTTCTCTTTCCATACCCTCTCCCCTAGTTCATTTTGCAATGCATGTGACTTATTTTTAACTTTTAATCTCATGACACACCTAATACAGTTAATAGTTGGCTAAGTGGTCAAACATTCCTCTAGGTTACATAGCCCTGGTCTGTCCACTTGCTGTACAGAGGTAACTCGTGGTTGCTGTGAAGCTGACCACTGTGACACTGATGTGTCAAATGTGATAATGGTTGTCCATGGTGGACAGTGGTTGGTAGAGCTCCCAGATTAAAACAAGCATGGAAGCAGGACTGGCATCCACTTCCAAAATAGCTTGCCTCCAGAAACCCTATGAACCTGGAGAAAGGATGAAAATTATACAAATGTTCAGGTCTTTTGTTCATAGGATTGCTATGATCCGCCTATGACTCAACGCCACTTAACACCAACAACAACAAGAAGTAGATTTGGCCAAATAATGAGAGCTGAGGCACACATGAGTCAAGCCATAGTCTTGTCAATTACTTGCTGTGCATCTGAAAGTTGAACAATGTATAAGGATGACAGAAGAAGAATCACTGAACAATGTATAAGGATGATCGAAGAAGAATCAATGTCTTTGAGTTGTGGTATTGGAGAAGGGTACTTGATATGTTATGGACTGCCTAAGAACAAATACATAAATCTTGGAGAAAGTGTGGCCAGAGTGTCCCTTAGAGGCAAGAATTGTGATACTTCGTCTCACATTCTTAGGGAATGTTGTTAGGAGGGGCTAATCCTTGGAAAAAGACATCATGCTTAGCAAGGCAGAGGGTCAGGGTAAAAGAGGAAGACCTTCAACAAGATGGACTGGCAGTGACTGTAACAATGGGATCAAGTATGTCACAGCCAAATGAGGATGGCACGAGATAAGACAGGGTTCAGATCTGTTTGTCATAGGGTTGCTATGGGTCTTCAAGTTGATGGTACCTAACAACAACCACAATAACTTTTGACTTAGTCTGTAGAGACTTAGTCTGTGCTGCTGGTCAAAAGACCACATCTCTAGGATTTAAAAAAATGTAGCCTTCATTATGGATTGCAACTCAACGTGAAAGAGGGAAAAAAATCAAAGACAGGGCATAGTAGGCATAGATCAGTGGTGAGTTTATAAAGCACAATTTATATGAGTGATCATTTGTAACACAATGTGAATGAAAGAATGTGTGAAGCACAGTGTACATTAGTGATGCACAATATATGAGAATTTTGTATACAAACCGGTATAAATTTTTAGAAGAAATAAAAAATAAAAAAAGAAAGAAAAAAATCCTCACTACTAAGACAATAGGCAATATAATGACAATGGAGAAAAGAATTAAACTGTCAACTACTTCATTTTACTTGGATCCACAAACAATACACTTGGTGCCAGCAGTCAAGAGATCAGGAGACATATTTCATTAAGAAAGTCTGTAGTCAGGGACCTTTCCAAATTACTGAGGAACAATAATGTTAGTTTGAGAACTAAGTTATGTTTGACTCAGTATTTTCAGTCACTTAATGTGCATCTGAGAATGGGACAATGTAAAAGTATGACAAGAATTAATGACTTTGAACTGTGATGTTGGAGAAAAGTACTAAATATCCCGTGCACTGCTAAGAGAACAGATAGTCTTGGAGAAGGTGCAGCCAGAGTGCTCTTTGGGGGCAAAGATGATGAAGCATGTTGCTAGGAGAGGCTATTCTTTGGAGAGGAACATCATGCTTGGGAAGGTAGAGGTGGAAGGCAAAGGAGAGGAAGATCCACAACCAGGTAGATTGACAAAGTGTCTTTAACAATTGGCTTGAGTGTGTCAGAGATTGTGAGGATGGCATAGGATAGAACAGGGTTCAGTTCTGCTGTTCACAGTGTCGCTATGAGTTGTCATCAACTCAACAGCACCTAACAACAAAGTAACAAGGGTGGCTCCTGAGGAGAAAGATGGGTAGTCTCCTCCCTTGTGATTTATAGCCTCCAAAATCCCCCTGGAGGGTAAACTCAGAGCCATTTCGGACTCAACAGCAATGACTTTGGCTTTTGTGTTTTTCTAAGGAGATTTCACAGGGACCACTTTTGGTGTCTCTTCTGTCCTTCAGAATCACTCACGTTAGTCAGCTACACAGTCTTCTTTGTTAAAACATTTAACAGCTTAGCTACTGGACAGGCTGTTTCCTGGTTTGTGTTGTTATGTGCCATCTAGTCGTTTCTGACTCATAGCGACCCTATGCACAACAGCTCTAAACCCTGCTCTATCCTGCGCCAACTGCACCGCCTCTGACACACCCATCCCGAT